CGAAGGCAGCTGCTTAACCAACTGAGCCACCCAGGCGTCCCACCAAGGGCAATTTTTAAATGGGGAAAAAAAATAAGTCTAAAAATATATACCCGAGTATCAAAAAACAGGGTTGTATACCTTAGCCACCATATCTGGCGTCATAGGAAAATATTTTCCTCTCCAGGCCCTTCACTTCCTTCAGGTCTCCGCTCAAACGTCACCTTTAAAAAGTTCTTTTTGGAGGATTCTCATTTCCCGCGGCACCTTCCCTCCTCGCATCCTCCCCTCTGCTCTGGCTGTCTGTCTTCCTTACTGTTCTCTGTAGCGCTTAGCACCCCATTGAAAATATCCATTTGCTTGTTTTTTTAGTATCTGTTACTCCTCCCCCCTCCAACAATAGGGAATCTGGTAACATGACTTACTGTGTCCCCAAGCTCTAGAACAGTGCCGGCCTAGAGCAGGTCCCCTGTAAGAACTTGTTGAATGTAGTGCGGAAAGCACTGGGCTTGGAATCAGGAGGTCACTGTTCTGAGTGCAGCTTGTGGGGACGCCTGGGTGGCTCAGTCGGTTAAGCATCTGCCTTCCGATCAGGTCATAATCCCAGAATCCTGGGATCCAGCCCTCCTTGGGCTCCCTGCTCAGCAGAGAACCTGCTTCTTCCTCTCCCTCTGCCCCTACCCCCCAGCTGTAAAGAAATAAAGTAAAGAAATAAAGTAAAGAAATAAAATCTTTAAAAAAAGAGAGAGAGAGAGAGTCCAGCTGTGTGACATCAGATAAATTAACCTTCCCAATCCTAGATCGTCTTCACTGGAAAGTAAAAGCGTTTGCTGTCCTGCTTACCTCTCCATGTCTTAAGAACTACTGAACGATGGTCAGACCTCCTGTGCTTACTGTGCCTGGTGCTGAGGGGCCTCCCAGCAAGAGTCCACCCATCCATATATGTGAAAGGCAATTCAAATACACCTTTTGTCCCTCGTATCCTATCATTCTGTTTGAAAGCTGCCTACTCGGGTTACCTTATTTGTCCGTTCATTGAATTGCTTGTACTGAATGGCACTTTGACTTTCTTGGACCGAAATGGAGGGACACTGTGTTAAACAGCCAAATGGAAGTCTCTGTTGTACTCATCACAGCCACACAGAGATGATACCAGCATCCCCAGCTCACACGTCCAAAGACTCAGAGAGAGCGCTCTCTCGGGTCTCAGGATGAGGGAAGGCTGTGCTTTGTCCAGAGAACTCATCGGCTTTGATCTCAGAACACCAGAGTTCAGTAAGCAAACATTGTTTCTTCTCTGATGGCTTAGAACGTTTACAGCCAGATCTGTATCCTTCCCTAGCAACTGTTTTAACATGATTACGTCTTATTTATGTTCTTGCACAAGGAGTCCTCTGGCCCAGATTGCCTAAGTAATTTATGGTAACCTTTTGTATGGTATGTATTTTTATAAATTAATTTAGCCTTTTCATGGGATGAGGTCGAAAGCAGCTGAATTACATACACATATACATGAATTTTATAATTGTTTAGAGAATAAAAAAGCACAAAATTTATTTCCAAATGTCTTTCTCAGACTCTAGTTCTCTTTTATGAATTGATTTTGTCTGTCTCTGTGATGTTCTGCTGGTGAGTAGTTAAGTTCCTTCTCCCAAAGCTGACCAGTGTTTCATGCAGCACAACCAGAATAAAGCAGTCTACTTGCAAATCCAATGTCAGTGGCCAACGCTTGTGCAAATGAGGGTGCCTCCTCCCGAAATGGGACTCACAAAACCTCTAGAACTGTAGAGAATACCTTAGATCCTGCCACATAAATAGGCATCCAGGGGAAAGAGAAAAGAAGTAAGAATTAAAACCCTTTCCTTTTTTCTTACTAAAATCACGACAAGCCAAAAACCAAAACCCAAAGCAAAGCCCACCAAAAACAGAACTTGGGGCATGAATGACATTTGTTGTAACTGATAAAACCTTCTTTTTTGTTAACATGCTCCTCTTGGGCGCCTGGGTAGCTCAATCAGTTAAGAGTCTGGCTTAGGCTCAGGTCATGTTCCCAGGATCCTGGGATTGAGCCCCTGTCTGGTTCCCTGCTCACCGTAAAGCAATCTTTCTAGTTCTAGAATGTCAGCCTACTATGCCATGTGGGTTCCAAATGTAATTGTCTTCTACCTTCCTCTAAAGACATCTTCCCCATTTCCCTGCACACTTGACTTCTACCGAAACCAACCTCATTCACTATTTTGCTTTCTCTTCCCCTACCCCACATCTCTGCCAAAGGAGTAATTCAGTTCCTGCTTCTAAGTCACTTGTCATGGGTCAGGATACTCTCACACTTCCCTCCAACTCCCATTCCATCCTCTATATTCTTTTAGCTGTCTTAAAAATTAGTAAATTGACCTTCCTAAGGACGGGAAACTAAAGAATACCCACCCTGCTAAATGTATGTAACCTGAGAAGATCCTGGAATTCCATTTTGATGTATATTAAAGATACGAAATGAATAACACCAGCATTGATGGCATTAACTCTAACACTACAGGATTCAATTTAATTTGCCTTGATTGACTCAGAAGGGTTATTATAACAATCCCCCTGGTATTATGCTACTCCTTAGAAATCACTGTTACTTAGTATTTTCCCATAGTCTGCCTTTACTTAGTAGCTCATTTCATCTATTTTTAAGATATTTTAAGAGTGATCTGTGATTTGTACGCTCTGCCTGGCACATAGCTAGCACTTGCTAATATTTGTTGTTTGATTTGAATTTCATGATTGCCATAACTAATTCCGTTCCAATATGCCAGATGCTCTTCCTATTAGCACTGATTAGCAAAGCTGAATCATGAACCATTCCAGCATGACAAGTAAATTATATAGAGGTCACATAAGAGAAAAATGCAGACATTTCACTTGGGGAAAAAAAAAATGGACTTACATTTTTCCTTTCTCTGAGCTTTCACTTTACAACATTATAAAGCTAAAAATTTGCCTGAGTTTCTGAAAATTGTGTCACTAAAAATGAAGAGGCCAATTAACATGGCTCTTCCAGTTATATCCTCATGCAGACATTTCAATGGAGTTTTACTTGGGTGAAATATGGGCCAGTGGTTTCTCAAACCTAGCCCACTGGCTGCATTACAATCTGCTGATAAATTAAAAAAAAAAAATACAGGTGTGCCCGGCTGGCTCAGTCCAAAGAACATGCGACTCTTTGTTTTGTTTTTTTAAGATTTTATTTATTTATTTGACGGACAGAAATCACAAGTAGGCAGAGAGGCAGGCAGAGAGAGAGGAGGAAGCAGGCTCCCTGTTGAGCAGAAAGCCCGATGTGGGGCTCAATCAGAGGACCCTGGGAACATGACCTGAGCTGAAGGCAGAGGCTTTAACCCACTGAGCCACCCAGGCACCCCGAACATGTGACTCTTGATCTCGGGGTTGTGAGTTCGAGACCCATAAGCCCCACGTTATGTGCAGAGAATACTTAAAAATAAAATCTTTAAAGAACAAAATAAAGCAAAAACCAATACAGATTTCGGGCTTAATCCCCTAAAAACATTGACTTGGTTGTGTCTAATGTGGAGTCAAGGCATTCTTATTATTTTAAGTATACCAAAGTGATTGTGATGTACAGACTGGTTTAGGTTGTTAAGACTAACTCAGAACATTACATAACTGGCGATCAATTTCTAAACGAGTCAGCGTACAGACAGCTTTAAAAACAGGAGGCATATGTTTTCTTCATTTTATTACCCACTGTGCCTAATGCAATGCCCTGCTCACTCTAGGAGCTTCATTATTGCTTATAGACGAACTACAGTCAGAAATACCTGCTCAGTCAGACCCTGTCCAATTCAGTTTTATTCTGTGTGAGACTGAGAAAAACATCTCTTTAGTAGCTTTAGACTTCTTTGAAATACAAGGTCAAGAAATATTCAGTCGAAATAACTTCTCGTGGATACACCTAAAACCTCAAGAACTTTCTAACTTTCCAGAGGGATGCTGAGGCAAATCTGCTGTGCATAGTTATAAGCATGGACCGAGGATTGAGAAAGAAAAGGAAGGTGATGTGGTGGGCAAGGCTGGGGGATGTCTATGCAATGAAGCCTCATGATCAGGACATCTGGGCACTGTGACGGAACCGATGGATCTGAGTTAGAATGTTCTACTGTGTTCTGGTGGGTTTCGGTATGAAGTCATCACAGTCAAAGCTAAGATTACATAACTTTTTATGATGGGTGAGATACTAAAACCAACTCTTGCCAAGAACTGAGGAGTGTTCTTCAGAGACATGCTTAGAATATTCAACAAAAATGGTCTGCATTTTAATCTCGGGAATTCGGGTTATCTGTATAGATCACAGAAAACAAGAGGCAGTCTTGTGCTTCCAGATTTTTTGCAGAATGATTCAGTTGAGTCTGTAAAGGCGTATCTGCTGTTTTAGTCATTTATTCAACAAAATGTTTCCTAAGCCCCTACTTTTGGCCAGAAAGTGTGCTAAAAATGGAAGAAACTATTCTAAGCATTGAAGATAAGTTCTTTCATTGCTAATCAACCACAGAAGGAACAGATGCATAAATAAATAATTATAATACATCAAGTGATAAAAGAGAAATCTAAAGGTATTACACTGTCACCAAGTACAGAGCAACCAACTGTTTGAGGGCCAGGGGTCTACTGACTAAGGCAATGGGGAGAGAGGGGAGAGAAGCCTGTAGTGTCTTGAGACACACCCTGGGAGATGCCCAGTGAGTACTTTACAAGGAAAGTCTGGGACTGAAGACATGTATTTGAGAGCTGAGGCCATGGCATCGATAAGACTTCACAGGGGAAAAAAAAATATCAAATGCATAGAGAAAGGAGAAGTAGGGAAAGCAAAAAGGCAGAGACCACTAAGCATCTCCCCCATGAAAGGAGCAAGTGAGACAAGAGGAAGTTAAAGAGACTGGGAGTGAGCGGAGGCAGGGGTAGATGTCAAGGGGAGGAGAACCAGAAGGCAAAACGGCTCTACTGTTTGTCTATGAGGAAGGAGAGGGTTTCAGGAAGGAACGACTGGTCAACACTGTACACTTTCAAAGGTCAGAGAATTTAAGAGCTGAAAGTTGTGCTGTACGTTCTGAGAACTAAGAGGAATTTGGAGACCTTCTACCGTGGAGAGGTGCAGGCAGAAGCAAGGTGGGTGTGGAGCAAGGGTGGGGGGCAGCAGAGAGAGCAGAGCGAGGGCAACCCCTTCCAGCTGCTTTGCTGGAAAGGGAGAGAAAGCAAGGGGGCCGCAGAGTGAGGGGCAGACAAGGTAGACAGAGTGGGTTCTTTTTCTCTTGTTTTTGTTTTGGTGGGGGAGGGGGATCAAGGTAGGTAGAGCTGCCATTCACATCACTAAAGGAACTGCTGGACAGAGATTATCCCCAAAACTCTGAGCACAGTGGGGAGACTACATGGGAACAAAGCATCCGGAAAGGAAGCCCCAGGCAGGACAGCCAGCAGAGAATCGGGTAGAGCTGGTTTCAATTGCTGATTGGCTCTTTTCCTAGCTGTGTGACAGGGCCCATTGTTCCACCTTTGCAGGATTTGGTTTTCTCACGTATTTCTTCAACCAGAATCCCCCACAGAAGCTGGAGTGGAAGGTGCCCAGCATGGTAACAACCGGGTACAGGCATTCCCTCCCCTTCCTTTTGTCCTAAGCAAAAATCAAAAAGGATTTAATAAGAGCATATAATGTATTTACTAACCTTGAAATAAATATGTGCATGCCAACTGAAATTTACATAGGTACCTACCCAGAACTAGTAACTGTATTCAAACCAGTAATTCTAGATTTGAAAATGTAATAATGGAAAACATAAACGTTTCATATTTGGAAACACAGGAAACAGGAGAAATATGTAATAGGCATTTTTAAGTTTGATGAGCAAATGAAATAATGTAACCATAACTACTACTACTTCTTCTTCTTCTTCTTCTTCTTCTTCTTCTTCTTCTTCTTCTTCTTCTTCTTCTTCTTCTTTTTTATGTAACCATAACTTCTATACAGGCACATTAGCACACAGACAGAACCTGGAAAAGACAATTTGTTAATGTTTATCCTGGCCAGGGGAGCAGGCTGCTGACTGACAGCCACAAATTCTATCCAAGAGAGCAGAGGTTGATTCATTTGGCTCTACGTGCCTGGGATGAAATAATTCTTGCTCATACATCCCAGCCTTTGCTTGGCAGAATGGTGTTCAAGCAGAGGTATTGCTGGGGGTCGTCCTGAGTGGATTGTGGGTTTGCTCATGTAATCTGGAAAGTGGGTTCCGAGCCTAAGGACTATGACACGCAGACTTTGGGGTCTGGAATTTGAACCCCCATCGGTTTCCCCTACCCCAAAAGGAAGGACAGACATCTCATGACAACTGAGAATACGCTCTTGGTCAGCAAAATCAACTGTTGAAATGATTCCCTGCCAGATGATTCAGGCCAAGACAGGAAGGTCTCAGTCAAGTTACATGTTAATGGTGCGGGCCGTGAGCAGTTTCATCCCTCAAATCAATCCTTTCTGTAAATGTGTGCAGTGTTTGTCAAAGCTGGTCTTCCACTATCCAATCAAGCATATCATTCCCAAATCCAGATTTCCAACCCCACCTACAGCTTGAGAAAAGGACTGGCTCTATAGAGGCATTTGTGGGGCGCCCCGCTGGGTCATCCAATAAAAACATTGTTTCTGGGGGCGCCTGAGTGGCTCAGTGGGTTGAGGCCTTTGCCTTCCGCTCAGGTCATGGTCTCAAGGTCCTGGATGGAGCCCCGCATAGGGCTCTCTGCTAGGCGGGGAGCCGGCTTCCGGCTCTGCCTACTTGTGATCTCTGTCAAATAAATAAATAAAATCTTTAAAAAAAAATTGTTTCTGGATGCCAGAATGTTCAAACGGACCTGTGCCCTGACCGCCTTTCATCCTTCGCCGTGAATACATCTGTGAAGATGAGGCTGTCAGATAATCTCATACTTCAAAAGGCTATAAAGGAAAGATAAGGCACAAAAAGGTAGGTAGGCGAGGGGGGCGTGAGGCGCGCGCGTACACGTGAATGCTCTGTGTGCGTGTGCACGCGCGCATGCGTGATGGCAGTACGTGCGTGCGTGCGCGTGCACATGTGAGCGCCGCGGGTGCGCGTGCTACAGCACACGGAAGAGGCGGCGAAAACCCCGGCGGCGCCTGGCCGCGCGGTGACAAGCCCTCAGGAGTGCGGGTTGGAAGAACAGGTCTGGAACCTTCCGGTCGAAGCTCTCCCGACCGACCCAGCCAGGCACCCCTGTGCCCCCCCATTTTAATTTACCTATTTAGGAGCTGGCCTACCTGTATATTGTTCTTTGAGATACCAGGGTTTTTTTAAGACTTTATTTATTGTGTGACAGAGAGAGGGTCACGAGTCGGGACAGCGGGGGGCAGAGCGAGAGGGAGGCGGGGAAGCGGCGCCGCAGAGCAGGGAGCCCGTCTGGCCATGCCCGGATGCGGGGATCATCGCCTGAGCCGAAGGCCGGCGCTCAACCGCCTAAGCCGCGGGGCGCCCGAGACGCAGGTGTTCACGTGGACGACAGTGCGAGGTAAGGGACGGAAGGGGCGTCAGTTCGCTCCACCGGTGTCCTGTAGAAACACCAGAGATGCCTGGGAACAGAGGAGATGCGCTCTACGGTCCTCACTGCCCCGGAGATGCCGCAGACGGACGCGGACAGGCACTGACGTGCCCGCGGGGCTAGGCCGGCAGTCAGGACGGTGCCCCAGGGGCTCGGGAATCCTGCGGGTTCTGACGAAGGGACGCCTGTACGCGGAGTGACAGCCGTCATGGGGGGGCGGGGAAGACGGGAAGAAATACTTACTTTTAAGCTGAATGAAAGCCATTATCCAATTTTTTCTGAAGATTTTATTTATTTATTTGACAGAGATCGCAAGTAAGCGGAGAGGCAGGGAGAGAGCGAGGAAGGGAAGCAGGCACCCCGCTGAGCAGAGAGCCCGATGCGGGGCTCGGTCCCAGGACCCTGGGGTCATGACCTGAGCCGAAGGCAGAGGCTTAACCCACTGAGCCACCCAGGCGCCCCCATTATCCAGTTTTTATAGGAAACGCACACCACGTTAAAGGCAGGTAGAGACCAATACATACAAGGTCACCAGTATTTGGAAATAACAGAGGAAGGGACGTAAAAGGGACCAACAAAAAGGATTCGAATTTATGCAGCTAGTCCCCGTTTTATATTGTCAAAAGATAGATGATTGCATGTGGCATCTAAGTCAAAATAAGTTTTAGTTTACAGCCCTATACCATCTGCACTACTTACTATTTTTATTATGGCAATATGTTTGAAGAAGCACTTGATTTTAAAAGAAATGTCATATCTACTTTTGGAATTATTTTCCTACATAAAAGGCTGTAGACTGCAAGAAAAGCTCAGAGGCATAGGTGCCTAAATAAGATTTTTCAATGAATAGAAATAAACTAAAAGTCCCTAACATTTCCTTAAAATGTCTTATGCTGTCAGGACAAGTTAATGCATTGCTCAGGCATACACACAATTTATTTGTGGTATAATGACTCAGATTTGGTGCTTGGCTAGTAAATTCAATTTCTGCATTTCTGTTCACTGCCTGGAAATATTATTTTCCTGTCATACTGACTTAATCATTCATGAATAAAAGGAGATTAACATGTTGGGGAGAAAACAAAAATAAAAGGTTTCTGCTACAAGGATTTTTTTTATTAGAACAATCTTGGGCAAAAATTATATGCTGAACCAATAGTTAAGGGATTTCATTAATTTTACTATTTATGTTCTTCTGAATATAATAGCAGAATGATAGAAATGTTGCATATAATATTTGCAAAACCAGATCAGAAGTCAGAACAATAGAAAAAAAATATATATGCCTCCAGCTCCCCTGTACAGGCGATAATCATGTGATTGTCCATCAAACATTACAGTAAATAGAATTCCTCTTCTTTTCAAAATGCCAGGCCAGTTCAGCCCAGACCCAGAATATGTTTTTGACCTGGGGTTCCAGGACTGTCTCTGGAGGTGAGTCACCGTCTGGATCTACTCCCGTCTAAAGATCACACTGGCCACCCACACTTATCTTGAGTGGCAGTGTATCCTCAAAGAAACTGTAAGTGCCTGCTCTTCCTAACTCACAGAACTAACTCAGACTTATTTCCGTGGTAAAGAACTTAAGTTCTGGAATTAGCCCCCCACGTGTTAAAATCCAGGCTCCACACAAACATGCTTTGGACCAAGTTCTTTGAGATCTCTATGTGAGACTCCACCTGTCTCTAAAGTGAATTTACAGTAGTACAAACTTCATAGTGTTTTTATGCATATCAGATTACATGGTGCCTGTGAAACTGCTTAGCAAAATTTATATTACACATATATAGTTACTTAATGTATAATTTGTATGTATAGAGATGATGGATATAGATATGTGTGTGTGTTTATGTTTTTCAGTTTTATTTCTCTTAGCATTCACCCCGCTTTGTTCTTATCTTGCCAGTGTTATATACAAAATGGTTTCCGATATTTCCCCATCCTTGTTCTCCTTCCGTGCTGCCCTTTGCCAAAATAAACACAAGCAATCTAACCAGAAGGAAAACAAACCAACAAAGCTCACATCCTAGAAACTGTCTTGCTTTTTTTCCATGTCCTTCCTTCTGACATTTCCCTCATTGCTTGAAATAGCAAAAAGATAAATAAAAACAGCTCGGGTAATCGATAACGTGCTTGTCCTTCACCAGTTCGAGTTCTGAGACTCTAGATCCTGGGATAGGAGCAGCTTCTGCTGAGGGGAGCTCTTCAGAAGAGCATCTAAACCTGGGACTGAGGGGGCGCTGGGAGAGACAGGCAAATAGTCACGCGCGGGAAGTTTATTCCTGCATGTGTTCTAATACCTTCCTGGGGCTTAATCACTGCCTGCATGTCAGAAGTGAAGAAATTAAAAGAACAAGCAGAATGGATTAGGACCAACTGAATGGAAGGGGAGAGCTGGAGCTCAACCTACAGACCTCCCAATTTTGTGTTCAGGCTACCCGCGCTCCGTGCAGCCACACCCTGCATGGTCACAGACCCCCTAGAAGAACAGGACCTACCACGAGCTGTTTTAAACCGGGGCTGGGCCTTCCGACCGTTTTGTTTTCCTGTGGGCCTAAGCTCCACAAGGGATCTAGGACTGAACAGTCTTTGGGCTAATGGTTGGTTCCAAAGTGAAAACAGCCCCACCGGTGCAGCTGGAAATAGGAGCCTTCCTTCCCTCCAGCATCATTTACTACATCCGGAGGTCACTCACGCACGTGGGAGAGGATCCACAGACAGAGAAGCTGGGTGTCCTTGAGGGCCTTTCTGAACGCTGCCTGCCCAGCATTATCCAACTTCTCTTCCAGCCTTGCTGCTGGGAATGTGCTCCCGGGTTCCTTCTCATCCTTGCGGAGGAAAGACAGCTGCATGGATTCTGAAATCCATGATACTGTGATACAGTAACAAGTACTTTCTTGGTTTTTATCCCTGTTCCAGCACCCAGTTTTCCAAAATTCTTGCAATTGCCTAAGAGACCAGCCCTATGGAAGTGTTTTTGTTATGCTAATTTGGAAGGTTCCCGGGTCCCCTGAGGATGGGGGGAGGGGCTGGTTACCAGAGGAACCTACCACGTGACTGAAAGGTTGCGGCTTTCAGTCCCTCCCACCCCTGACTTTCAGTTGGAGACTGAGTTCAGACACATGGGCCAGTGATTTCATCAGTCACGCCCGAGTAATGCAGCTTCCATAAAGACCCTGAAGTTTGGGTTTCTGAGTGCTTCCAGGCTGGAAAACACGAGATCTGGGGAGAACGATTTGCTCAGAGAGGACGTGGAAGCACCACACCTCTTCCCCACACCTTGCCTTGCGCATCTCTTGCACCTGGCTCTTTCTGAATTACATCCTATATCCTGAGTCATGTCCTGGATTATATATTCAACAAACTGATTTTCTAGTAAACAAAACGTTTCCGAGTTCTGTGAGGCATTTTAGCAAATAATGGAACCTGTTAGAAAAGTACAGGCCCAAAATGGTGTTAAGTCAGTAAATTAAGACTTAATATATAACTTAACTGGGGTTTCAACAA